TGTTTTGTGGCTCTTCTGTGGAAGACGTAGCTGTCTTAAGCCTCACAAGGTAGTATAAAGATATCCTAGAAAATTGCAGGGCTGACAATATAACTTTACTAATTTGTCTAACTGTGTGAAAACAGTAATAAAGAAAATGGAAAGACATATGCTTTTTAAAAATTCATTGTTCTCAAATGGCTCATATGAGTTTAGAACTGGGAGATACATGATTATTCTCTGCTGGAGTTCAATAATAATAATAAATAATAATATATTTTAATATAAAAATTATATTAAATAATAATAGTAAATAGAATAGTTTAAGTTAGTTTTGGTCTTAATTGAGAACCCAACTTAATCATTCAAGATGTGACTCAACAAAATGTAAAAGGCAAAATAGTTCCATCACCTCAGATTCTAAAACAGGAATCAAACAAATAGTGACTTTCCTCCAGGAAGAAAGCAAAAGTACATCCGCAGTTCTTCTGGTCAGAGAGTGTGTGCTGCTCTTAGAGCCAAGTTTCATTCTTGGCAATACTACCCGAGTCCAAAACGACATCGAGATGACTTTGCCCGTACTGACGCAAGGCACAGGAAATAGAGGCAGTTTCAGGCATTTCATGCTATTAAAGTAGCAAACCAGAAAGTCCATTGAGGAGAACACTCAGGAGCCCAGCTCCAATATCATTTTTGGTGGACTGAATGAAGACATGCAGAGTTGGGAGACATTTGGCTCAGAATAAAACAGAGTTTGAACTAACTTCTTAACACATTACTATGATAACAAGTCCCCCCCAAATGTACCCGTTTCTCCTTTGCTCACCACTCTATGAACATGCCAGTAATTAAAACCCTGAACACTTACAGCTAAAGAGCAGGAGAAAGTCAAGCAACGTGCCCCAAAGTGATTAAGAAATATTTTCCTTTCTTCCTATGGAAATGTCATTTATTTTTCAAGGAAATTTGGAGTCACAGATGAACTTCAGAGTAAGTGGTAATATTCCTTTTGTTTTACAATATTGGAAATAGTTTGGTGCAGACGGAGCGCAGCTTCCTTTTTTAAAAGAAAGTTTCTTGTATTTTTATAACCGGACTTTTAAAGTTATACCAATACTATTTCTGTTATTTTGGCATTCAACTACAAGATGAAGAAAAATTGCATCTCTCTTGATTTGTCCTATAAATATAATTCCTAAAATATTTTAAAAGTCAAATCAGTTTAGTTTATTGAAGAATTTTGTAAAACAAATAGCCAAATTGTCTATATTTTATACATATTTTGAAGAGGCGATATTTTTAGTTAAAAGTACATGAGCTTTGGAGTCATTTGCTGTGTGAACTAAAATAATTAGAAATGACAAGTCTTATGTGGAATAATTTAGCAGCCAACTTGAAAGAGGTCAATATTGATAGCTATTTTAATCAGAAACAATATGGAAATATCTCTCAGTCTATTATCCCTTTTATCTATGATGCATAGAAAGACATTATCCCAACTCCATGAGCAGGGACCCTGCTGGGCCACACCTCCACAGTTCCACAAGGTATTCCTGGCCAGCTGGAACTCTTAGCAAGACAGACCCATTGAGGCCAATATACCTGTCGAAGGTCTTCCTATGCTAAGGTCAAATCATGAAGTTACCAGGTTATCTATAGCTGGAGGGAGATTATCTCAGGACAGCATTATTAATGTATTAATGTTACATAAAAAATACTTTACAGGCCCATACTGCTTTACCACCTTCAAAGAGTTTTTATACACATTATCTCAAGTGTGAATTATTATTCCTATTTGCTAGAGTTTTCTATCCTACTGCCTCTTTTTAAAAATTTTTATTTTATTATTATTTTTACTGTATATATTTAAGGTGTACAACATGATGTTTTAATATACATACACATAGTGAAATGTTACTACAGTCTGCAAATCAACATATCCATCTCCTCACATAGTAACTCAGAAGGACAGAACACGACACCCAGGGCAGAGAGCTGTTTGTCCATCTCCTTCAGATCAATATGCTTGAGTGACTTGGAGAAAATAACATATGTACTATAAATACCAGATATAATCACCTCAATTAAGAACTCTCTTTTGCTTTAGGCATACCTTGGTAAAAGCTCACAGAAATAATCTTGACTCATCCCTTGGATCTTTTAAAGCTGAGGCGCAAAAAGACCAAAATGGAGGGCAGAGGGGTGTTTTTATATTTAGATCATCAAACATACTAAACTGTGGGTCAGGATGATCCATGAAAGAAGAAAAACAAATTCAAGCGATGACTAACAAGGCCTGCTGTGCATGAGTCACAAGCTGAATGAAGCAAGGCCTCTGGACACAGGAGGAAAAGCACTTAAAAGCCACATCACAATCGAGCCACGAGCCTCGTAACTTGTTGGTCTTTTAGCTGAACTGTTTCAACACCTGGATGAGGTCCAGGAGAAGAGAAGTTGGGCAGTTTATACACCGCTTCTCTTTCCTACGAAGGATGTTTTCAGCGACCTTAGGAGGTGTTTAGGAATGACTCTTTCGGGTGTGAACATGAAAATAGTGGGAGTTTAGGCAGAACTTGGGGCATTACTTTTTCCTAAGTTGTCTCCAAGGCATTGCACTGTCTTCCTGCTTGAAGCAGGGAACCAGCTCTGCAAAGGCCCCCCAGAACATAACGTTCTCTATAGATTTCACTCATACAAAATGGAAAGGGATTATATTTATAAACAAGATACAAAACACATAATAGCATAAAACATGTTGATTGAGCATAGAGGTTTGGGGTTTTTAGCTTTTTTCTGTTGTTGCTTTGTATTAAAATTCAGAGAGAGGGCTGGCTGGAGAGCTCAGGTGGTTTGAGTGTGGTGTTGTAACACCAAGGCCAGGGGTTCAGATCCCCGTATCAGCCAGCAGCCAAAAAATAAATAATAATAAAAAAAAAGTCAGGGAGAGTCCAAAATGATATTTCAAATTGCGCCGTCCTTTCAATCTAACTTGGATAGGCACATCCAAAAAGACACTTCACTTGTGATAAACATAATGATGTTGAATTCAGTTTGAATTCCCAACCAAACATTTGTCTCTTACAGATATTTTTCTCTGAGCTTTGTCAATTTCTTATAGAGTTCAGGTTGCTTATCTGGGGAAAATGCTACAACACTTTACCTGACCTGGGAAGTTTCCCCAGTTAAGGGAAATTGACATTCACATGAAACGGTTTTTATCAGAAGGATTGAAACTAGTAGGGAAGGTGGAGATTAAAAAGCAAAGAAGCGAATTGGACAAACTTTCACGGCCTAACTGCTACAGAGAGTGCTTGGTGACAGGGACGGCCCACCTCCCGGCAGCGAGGAAAAAAGCTCGTCTCACCTCTGGGCTCCCCTCCCCTTGTTTGTCTAGCTGAGAATTGTCCCTCAAGCAACAGTCAGATAACTGGCTGGAAATTTCTCATTCCCAGCCTCATTCCCTACTACTGGACTGAGGAATCACAGCAGCCAAGCTCAGGCCACCAGGGTACCCACCTCCTCTCTTCCAAGATAAGGTCAAGGCGTACCATGGGCTGAAACATTCATTATTATTCCACTCAAATTTCCCTCAAATTGGCATCATTTTCACCTCATATAAATAATGATAATTAAATAATAATTACTGAAAAGATGGTATAGTGCTCAAGAAAACAATGAAGAAAGAACCACCATTTAAAAAGATGCCACCTCCTTAACACCTCATATAAATAATGATAATTAAATAATAATTACTGAAAAGATTGTATAGTGCTCAAGAAAACAATGAAGAAAGAACCACCATTTAAAAAGATGCCACCTCCTTAACAATGATATTTGTCAGACATTTATTTTGTTCATGGTTGGCTGATTTGTTAAGGTTATTGTTACTGTTCTCGTTTTCTAATGATTCTTTATTTGTTCTTTCTTCTAAGACTACAAAAGACACTGTAACATAATGATTAAAAGCACAGGCTTTGGTGTCAGACAAACCAGGGTACAAATTTAACTCTGCAGCCTATTAGAATGTGCTGGGCAATTGTCTTTACCATAGAGTTAGAATGATGATGACTAACAAATAAGCATTTATTTAAATTAACCTTTCACTTTTATGCTAATATTGCACTGATATCCTGGCTCTAACAGGATGTTTGATTTTTTGGTTTAAGTAGTACAGCGTTATATATGTCATGCCTCCAAGACAGACTCGGCTTCACAACCATTTTTCTTGATGACCATCCATCTATCTGATATGTATTTATGGAGAACAGAATACTGTTATGAAATAAGTTCAGAGTTAGGAAATAAGTTCAGAAGTTTGCAACCCCTTATACTTGACTGGCCCTGTTTTCAGGACACAGAGGATACATCTTGGAGGATCCACACAGTATATCTTTCATACTTTACATTAGTTATCTATTGCTGTATCACAGCCAGCCCAAAGCTGAATGACTTAAAACAATAACCGTTTATCAATGCTCACAAGTTTGTGGGTCAATGGGATGATGTTGCCGATTTGGGCTAGGATTGCCTGACCTTGGTTGGTCTCACTCTTGTAATCTGCAGCTTGACTGGATACTGGTGGGTCCAGAATAGCCTTATGTATATGTCTGATGGTTGTTGTCTCCCACCTGGGGCGGTGGGAATAAATGGGCCATGTGTGCTTTATCTTCTAGCACACTGGCTCTGGCTTGTTCACAGGAGGCCACAGGTTCCAAAAGCAACACGAAAGCAAGCCACAATGCACAAGAACATTACAAGTCTCTGTTCAGTCCTTCTGAAACTCACACATCACAAGGCTAATCCAGATTCAAAGTTTGGAGAAAGATGCTACCTCTTGAGGGAAGAGCTACAAAGCCCCATTGCAAGGGTATGGGCATAGGGACAGCATGTTTTTTGGCTATTCTTGCAATCTACCACATGCCTTTTATATAATCCTTATGCTTTTCTCTTAGTCTACTGATGCAGTATATTAGGAAATCCCTAGCCTGGTTCTATCTTTTATTTTTCCCCTACTCCATCAGGTGTCTTCAGGGTCCATTCAAGAGAGTGTGAAAGACCGAGTGATTGACTCAAGACTGCAGCTGTATATCACCAAGCCAGGACTCTACACATGCATAGCTACCAATAAGCATGGAGAGAAGTTCAGTACAGCTAAGGCTGCAGCCACCATCAGTATAGCAGGTAGGATGGCCCTGCACGTTTGCATTGCTCCAGGGGAGGGGAGAGCTGGCACTGTTCCACACATCTGACACTGGGGAAAATCTCCCTTTTCTTTTATCTCTCACTCAAGTCCCCTTTGGTCTATTTTCTCCTCCATGGAAACACTCCAGAGGTGACCTAGATATGGATTTTGGCTGATTTGTTGCCTCAAAAACTAAATCTTCTGTAGAAAGATAGGAAGGATAAGGTCTCATGTTCTATAACAATATAAGAAGACTACAGCCAACAACAAATTACTGTATAACTTCAAGAAGCTAGCTGAGAGGTGCTGAATGTTCCCAGCACAAAGAGGTGACAAATGTTTGAGATGATGGATATGCTAAGCACCCTGATATGATCATTACACACTGTATGAACACACCACATATTATATTGTACTCCACAAAGATATCCAATTATCATGGGTCAATTAAGAAAAAATAAATTTAAAAAAAAATCGTAGACAGAAGTAAATTAGAGGTTACCAGAAAGGGGGAGAAGAAACAATGAGAAGTTACTGCTTAATGGATACAGAGTTTATATTTAGGATGAGGACAAGTTCTGGAAATAGATAGAGGTGGTGGTTACACAGCACTGTGAATGTAATTAATTCCAAGCAATTGTATACTTAAAAATGCTTAACATGGAGTTTCTTATGTTATATATGTTTTGCCACAATGAAAAAACAAACAAAAAAAACCTCCTAAAACCTCAAATACAGGCCCAAGTGATGGGTAACAGCCTCCAGGAGTTCATTTCTTTCTTTCCATCCCCTTCTTTTCTTTCCTTACTTTCTTCCTTTCCTCCCTCCCTCTCCCCTTTTCTCCTTTTCTTTTTTCCTTCTTTCCTTCCTATTCTCTCTTTCCTTCTTTTTCTCCTTTTTTTTCCCCTTTGATTTCCTTTCCCTTTCCCCCCCTCTCCTTTCTTTCTATCTCAGGGTTAATCAAACTTTCCAAGGGTCTCAAGGAGTAAGTTGGCAGATATTTAACATGGTCGTGTCAATTACTCATGGCTATTTCTTGAAGACATTACCTTTGAGCATGACCCTGTGGTCTTTCCCTTTCCAGTTTCATGAAAGTGACAGCAAAACTTATAGGTGTTTTTAAGGAAAAGCCTGACACATAGATTTCTAGGACATTTGCATTGAGATATAAAGGTTTATTTTTAAAATTTAAATATCTCAAAGGCTTCTGAGAACATTTATGGAATTCCTAGAGAAGGAAATAATCCCTGCATCAGGAAATGCCAGGAATATTATATTCATAGCTTGCCTACTGCCCAAGGATCAGTGGAGAGGTGGTTGGCCTGACATGTAAGGCAAGCACTGGTGAAACCTATGCCCAGGGCCAGCTCCCCAGAACCTGATGTTTCTTATTACAGTGCCACTTCTTTGATCTTCCCTGATGGAGACCTTTCCACTAATGTCTGTGATTTTTAATATGAGGTGAGTAGAGGTCACAGAGAAATATACAGGGAGCATTAACAAGGTTGGCCCTCAGGGACATGCCCATGGAGGAAAGAGAAGACTCCAAAACTAAGGCTCCCTTCTACCTTCTCCAGGAATTTATCTGCCTACAGTGTCTTGAGACACCATATCAGTTACTCTAGCATTTCCACAGGCAGGAAATCATTTCTCCCAGAAAATGGCAAGACTCCTAATAGTAAATTCAATTCAGTTTAACAAATAATAATAAAATGATTACTATTTACATAGCACTTTGCTGTTCACAAAGCACATTTACATGCATTTATTAAATACATTGGATGTGGGCCATTGTGTTAGGTAAAGGGGTGAAAACTTAATTAGTAAGTGGGTCCTGCCTTTCAGGGACTCAATCTGGAAGGGAAGTCAGTCAGCCACATATATTACAGGACAGGCAATGTTCTGTTGCAGAAGCACAGAAAAGCGCAACTGCAGAACAAGAGGGAGAGAGTTTAAAGGAATCCTCGGGAAAGAGGGAGCATCTGAACGGGAAATGTGGGTACGAGATGCATAGGCTGAAGGGTGTTCAGACAGCAGCAAGTCAGTGGCAAGGCTAGAGCATGACAGAGGTGGAAGGGAGGAGAATAGCAGGAAGAAGGTTTGAGATGTGGGCTCTAGCCAGGTTAGGAAGAGCCTGGGTAGGTTTAAGGTAGTCTTCCATCAATGGGAGGTCATTTAATTATTTTAGAGGAAACAAGTGCTATAGTCAGATATATCCTCTAGCAAATTAAGAGGATTCACAGCTGCTGGGGTGTTAAGAGGTTGGGAGGTGAGACAAGCCGCTCAGAGACTCTGCAAGGAGCCTAGGAAAGTGCTGACGGTCTGAGGAGCAGCTGCGACTGGTGCAGAGAGGAGGAAAAATGCATGAAAGCTATTGGGATAGAAATAAGATTTGTAAGAGCCTGAATGTGGCAGTGGGTAGAAGGACGAGTTAGTGTGTGTCTGAGATGTTGAGGAAGGTGTCTAGGACAAACAATAGGATATAAACATGATAAGGTCCAGGAGATAAGAAAATAACCAAAATTGTTGTCTTTGATTTACCTGAAATTATTGTAGTCTTACCGCCTTTGTTTTATTTGATATTTGATCAAGACCTACTGTTAAATAATATACATTTATATAATTCATCCATAAATTTATATAACATGTGTGTATATGTGAGAGAGTGTGCATGCATGTGTGTGTGTCTGTGTAGAGAGAGAACATTTACATATGAATACTCAAATCTACACCTCCACTGGGCAGGAGAGAGAAATTAATGTTGCCAATCTTGACAGTCTAATTTCAGGTAATTATTCACTCATTCAAAGATAACACCTTGCCAGAGCTGTTCCTCCCCTTCCTCCTTCCATCTCTTTCCCTAGATGGCAGGGGTAAGGGGATTTGTATTTATCTAGTGGTGTCCTCTGGACTCCCCTGCTCTCTGATGAAGTCTGCAGCTGGAGAACTTGTGATTTCATCTCTTGACTTGGTTAGGACCCAGACTCTGGCTGGCTCAGCCCCTTTGAGGCACCTTCTGGAGCAGCAGAGTCCTCTGTGTCTCAGTCAAATCCTTCATCAAGCCCCTGACTACAGTTCGCTCTGCAACCTCTGCAGCTAGGTTACCCTGTCTGTCCCTACTGTGGCCCTATGGACATGCCTGCTAAATTTCAACTCAGCTCCTTCCTTATTCCACATGGAACCTGAAGAAATTTCTGGATCACTTTCAAGGTATATAAAATCCAAGAGAGATTCAAACTTGCTAACTCAGTTCTGCTGTCTAACCAAACATGTCATGCTATCATTTATTCACTAATGTTGCCACCCCAATGTCAGGGTAAGGGATCTCTATAAGGTGTTTTGCTTCTAGTATTCCAAATAAGAAGTTGGAAAAACGCTCTCTGCTTTTGACTTTTTCCTTAGTTGATTAATACACCTCTGTTCTAGGATTTAGGTCCAGAAAAAAAATCTATAAAATGTGTATCCAAATTCTTAATCCCCCAACCCTTCTCTTTTCCTTTCCCCTACATAGCAAGCTGGAAGGACTTGTCAGGGCTTCCCCGGTTAGTGTGGTAACCGTTAGAGCTCATGCATTATAAGTAGGAAGATGGATGAGAAAGCAGTGCTATGACCAATAAGGAGGGACACCTAATAAAATGGGTATATTTACGCCACACTAAGGCAGATTCATCCCATAGACATGATCTTTAAGATGCTGAAAGGACTACAGAACACGATTGTTACTGTACTGTATACAGCAACATCATCTCTTCATCCTTATCCTGGCTGAAATGAGAACCTGATGCAACCCCATTACAAATGGAATATACTGACAGAGAAATCTGTAACCCTAAAAAAAATGGCATCTTCTGGTGGTAGAAAGAACCTTAAGGTATGAGGCAGGCAGCCTAAGAAGGCAATGTTGCAGAGTGCAGGGAGATGTCATCTTAGACATCAATGTTGAGAATAGATCAGAGTGAGGATGTGGACAACCAGCAATGGTGGCCTGGGGAAAATAACTGGAATTTGCATGGGAAGAGATGGCAGGAGCAATTAATGGACTGGCCCGTAGCAGCACAGCGGGGCTTGCAATCTGCTGCAGCAGCAGAGTTGAATGCAGGTGAAGAGCAGTCACCTCAGTAGGGGCGATGGGCATGTAGACTGGGACCACCCATGACCTGACTAGTCAACCTGCCTGGCAACAGCAGTGGTACGCAGGTCAGCTTTAGAGTGGGGGCAAGCTGGGGGAACTGGAGGTGAGACTTGAAACCACTCTGGACGGGGTTATGTTTATAATAGCTGTTAAGGGGTCATCAGGGAACTTGGATAGAGGCAGAGCAGGCAGCATAAGGAAGGAGTTAACCTGTAAATGGGACCTGGGACCTTGCTTTCTTCTGAACTGCATGAGAAACACTTAAATCTGTCCATATACAGAATTGTAGTATTGCACAATGTTGGGGGTCAAGTAAAGAAATGAGAGCTGTTAGTCAAAAACTGAAAAAAAAGGAAAAGATCATACAGGTCTAGAGTGAATAGGATAAATTAGAAACGTGTCTATTAGTTGGAAAGTTGCTACACATCTAGTGGTATTCCCTGTGCGAATGCATAAAAAGCAACAAGATCCTTTGTTCAACCCCCAATCTGTTTTTCTGTTTGGGTCTCACTGACCATTAGGGGTTCTGGCACTACCCCACTTTCCACAAAATTTCCCCTGATGAGGGTGTCTCATGAGTGCAATTGAGTAAGACCTCTGAACCCCCATGAGACATCTGCCATTTTCTCTCCCTCTCTTTGACCTGCTCCTGTCAGTTAGACCTGCTAGATGCTTCATAAAGATCCTTCTGGAATCACTGAGGAAACTATCTCTCAACTGTGGGGTGCTCTCTGGACCAATGCTCCAGGGAAGTAAGGCCGCTCGTGAAAAAGGGATCCTTGGAGCCACTTGAATTCAGGATCATTTCAAAGAAGCACGGTTTCATGCTCCCCAGATCTCCCAGAGCTTGGATGTGATGCCTGCTTTTCCCATTTTTGTTTTCAGCCCCTCTCTCCTTTGACCTCCAAGGGAGCGGCCAGAGGTCCAGAGCGTCAAGTCAGACATGGCATCCCCCTTTGCCATTCTGCCAATGCTTTCTCACTCCAAACTCTGCTGTCTCTCACGTCAGCCTTCCCCCTCCACCCCTCTCTGTCACATTCCTTGTGTTTCACTTGGAAGCTTTTACTCCATTTTTGTATTCCTCCCAGCAGGAAAACTGCAAATGGAAAACTGATCTAGTGCTTAGGATTATGTCTAATGATCTTTCTAGTGTTGGAAGGACAACCAAAAATAAAGATCAGCCTTTGTTTTCCCAAACCCTTCCATGTGTCTGCCCAAATCCTTATGCATTGTTTGAGAAATGTGATATACCTCTTTGTGACTCATTTACATTTGCCATTGGCCATCAAAAGGAGTCAGAAAAACTTTTGGAACTGCTGCCTATGAGCCAGGAAGTTGCATTTCCCCTCCAGTCACAACCCCAAAAGGCTCAAATTGCGATTTAAAGTCACCAGGATGCCGGATATTTGGCAAGATGCCTGCTCTTTGTCATCAGAACCCTCAGCCCTGTGGCAGAGACCAGCAAGACAGACCGTGATCCCTGTAATGAGCATAGCCCAGGAACAGCCAGAGGCCATCAAAATAAACACAAGGATTCAGAAGAGGAAAATATACATTTGTGTTTCCCATTCTCAATGGTGCTAGTTGGCCCTTCATAAGAGAGTGAGGCCCAAAGTCCTGTCCCTGCTTATCCAGGGATGAGTCTGTGGTCACGTCCTTCCTCTAATGTAAGCCACTCTCCATTCTATCAACACCCCCCACCTTCTGTGATGCCCATTCTTTGGACTGACCTTAGGATCTGGGCCTTCTAGTCACTAAGTTTAAAATTCAAATTAATATATACAGCAACACCAAAAATGGGTGGTAGGGAGAAATCTGGTGTGGAAGTATTAGAGATTTCCACTCTCCAAATGGACCACATAGTTTTATTTTTCATATTTCAAAAAGAGTTGATGTTTCACACTATTGCAGAAGAAAATAGAACTCTGAGTTCTATTTTATTACTGATATAGCTGATTGAACATACTGCCATGTCTCATGCTCTTTCTCATGTCTGATAGTCACACTCCTGTTTCGCCCTAATGTTTGAAATAATTTCTGAAGTAGCCTCAACACACAATCCCCTTCAGCCCTCAGTGCTTCGAACGCAATAGGCAGAGGGTGTCCTGATCAACAAAACAGACAACATTGTCTCACATTTTGTGGTTTTAAATGGATTGAAGGTATTTTGGTTTTATTTTTAATAAAAGGGAAAAGAATAAATGAGTAACAGCCAGTAGCCACACTAAATTGCTACCAGCTGTTCCGCAATTAGGCATAAAAGGTAAGTGTTCTTTACCCAGTAGGTTTCTTATATTAGAGTAGCTGTATGTTTCAAAAAAGGACCAAAATTTTATTGACTTTTACAGATAATTTTAAAGATACTACAAAAATTGGGGGCCGGCCCGGTGGCGCACTGCTATAGTGCGCCGCTTGGGAAGCGCGGTGGCGCTCCCGCCGAGGGTTCGGATCCCACATACAGACCGGTTCCCGCTCACTGGCTGAGCGAGGCACGGGAGCAACACCGAGGGTTGCGATCCCGTTGCCGGTCCCGGTCCGGTACGGGCGCGACACTGAGGGTTGCGATCCGTTGCCGGTCACGAAAAAAGACAAAAAGGA